GTTATCAAACTATTACTTTTAATTAAGTGATACCTTTTTATTTAATAAAGACGTAAATCACATTCCATATACCTCCTATAATATTTCTACATATATTGTTTATCACTAAAAATATTTTCTCTTTTCTATATTTTATATTAATAACGCGATTAAAAAGGATTTTTGTTAAAATTTCTTTTTTCTTTTTTCATAAACCTTTGAAAGTTTGACACCACTGATCGTACGTATATTAACTGTGTGGTTCGACGCCAGTGTCCAGGAAGTCTTTTACAGTAATTACTACATTTTCTGGTAAACTTCTGAAATTAAAATTATATTTAATTATTGATATATTCGAAAATTATAAAAAGACGAACATTTATTTACATTCAAATTATTCTGTGCCGCTGTATGCCAAATATTGCATAATGCGATCGGATTTGCAAGATTTTTACTACGTATATGTGTATTATTATATTGCGACTCGATTACCTAATAAATGCAACGAATGATAACCAAAATGATGGCACGGATCTTCTTTTTATATTTTGACGTTGTGCGCTAATTATTTGCGCAGCTGTATCTTTCGATGAATTTAGTGCTAAGAATGCTTTAAACCTAAACATAAAAAATAAATAAACATATTCGTTTTCAGTCTTAATAATAACAGAGTTTGTTATATTTGCGTGCATATTAATTATGTTGCGTTTATCCATTTTCATTGTATTAATTTTGTTATATACTTACAGCTTGTTTATCTTTGGCTTTTGACAAAGTCCCGTATCTACCATGTAAGGATAGATGGTAGTGAACTTTATTTGAGACTTTCCTTCACTATGCATTCGTAATTCATCGTCGAGTGCCTCCATTAGCCCTGAAAGATATAATTTACGTAAACATTTGAAACCAATATTCCAAACACTTTTCAAAATTAGCCCAATTATTTCTATTAAATTTTGAGTACTATACAAAGTTGATTAAAAATCTATAACTGGATTTACCACTGACTGCATGTTTTGAAGCGGAGTAAGGAACCAAGTTAGGAAAACCTACGATGCCTGCCATGGATGAGAGCGCGACAATGTGGCCATGATTTTTTCAATCATATTTGGTAAAAATGCTTGCAACATCTAACAATTGTGCAATATGTTGGATTATATGCGTATATTATATGCGTCATGTGTTTGGCATATCTTGGTATAATTTAAATTAAACTGTTCGAAAGTGGAACACTTTTAATCATCAAATATTCGCTCCGATAAAATATTAAAATAGTATTTTTTATTCGAAAGAGCTTATTAGTAGAGCTAATAGTATTATTTATGCTAAAGAGTAGTTCAAAATTTATGTGTAATTTTGACTTACCCAAAAGTGTGCTAACACGTTAACCTTGAAAGTTTGCATAATTTCATCGGTTGTAAAATCCAGAAAAACACGGCATGGCATTATACCAGCGTTGTTAACCAGAATTGTAACCTCTCCAACTTCTTCCTTTATTTTTTTGCTACTGCAAAAACGTCTTCTCTTTTGGTTACATCACAGCTAAAAAATAATGATGAAATCCTAGTTAATATTATTTAATGATATATAGGTGTTACACCTGTTATAATATAATGTTATAATATTTGTTATATACCGACATGGAACAAAATTAAATGTGACATAAATTAAATGTTTATATTGCCGAATACACAAAAAACTTATTATTATTAAAAAATTTATTTTAATAATACTTATTATTATTTAAAAAAAATATATATCCTAAATTAGAAAAATTTTGGTTTTCATTACATATCGAAACAGTTTGAAATTCCTTTGATACGCGACGAGAAGAGAGAGAGAGAGAGAGAGAGAGAGAGAGAGAGAGAGAGAGAGA